AAGTGTTGTGGAGTTTTGGACTTGCCTGCCTTGATATCCATGCACTAAGGTTAAAGAAAGATCTGCACAATCATATCTTCTTGAGCCTTCTTGTGGTTGGTGACTGGGTTAGCAGCTACTCTCACTTTTCATATGACTTTTAAACACCATCATAATTAACAAAACCAATTAATATAATCTCATTTTGGAGCATATGCTCTTTGGTTATAGTTTGAACTCATATGTTTATATATATATATATATATATATATATATATATATATGTGTGTGTGTGTGTGTGAAACTCAGGTGACAGCGATTCTATCGCTTGCAGCTGCTTGTTCGTCAGCTGGAGTCATGGTTTTGTTCGTGAAAGACACAGATATATGCAGATCACACAACCTTTTATCATGTAATACATTTCAGATCTCCATAGCTTTGGCTTTTGTGGCATGGTTTCTTCTTGCGGTTTCTTCGTATGTCATGTTTTGGTTGTTGGCCACTATTTGATTTCGTGTTGTTGAATTGCCTCTGACTGTAAATATCGTGTTGTTGAGTAAAAAAAATTATGGGTTTTGTTATCTCAACTGTAAATTTGAGTTATTTGCACACTGACCATTGACATCTTATGAGGATTAGTGTCGATATTCAAATAAGAAAATCAAAAGAAATAACCGGTCTTTTAAGGTCCGATTTATAACTTGTCGGCTCTAAATTTTGTAACAGATTAGGTTTGGTCTAACTGGTCTTATATTGATTCTCATATAATTTGGTCTCAATAGCATCCAGTTGTTAGAGATGGAAAAGGGGAGCGTATTGGATGGGTGATGCATCCCTCGTGCTCGACCCCGAACCCGATGGAATCTGTGGGAGGCTAAGGCAGGAATCCTCGGCAAGATGAGGGATCCCGTTTAGTAAAAAACAATAAAAACATTGTATGTAAAATTAAAAGTACATTGATTACCAATACTAAAAATCAAATATATTTGTTATTTAATAATAAATGTATACATACACATATACATATATATAATCCCTCCTCGTCCACAATCGGCCCATAGAAACTGTCTACCTGAAACAGTCCCTTGGCCCGTATGTCCTGACACTATTCGTTGTCCCCCATTCTTGGCCCTTCCTTTAAGAACTTCTTCCTATACCTATAAATTTCATTGCACCCAGAAATTATTAGCCCATATATCTATAGGGGCTTTAATCATTTGAAAACTACAAAATATATAAGATCTGTGAGATCAATCATAAGCCACTAATTTACGATAATTATATCTATTAATTAAGGAGATAATCATTGTAATTTATTAAAAAAAATTAATGAATTTTTTTTATGGAAATACCATATTTATCTATTTCCCTCTATTCTCGTTTCTCTCTTTATCTTTGTATTAACAAACACATCGTGCCTACCAGGTGAACACAATGTAAACAACTTTAACAAAAAAATAATAATTATTGGGATGTTCACAAGTAACGTGTTCTGTTTTAATTTTATTGATTTAGTTTGTGTTCATAATATGCTTACATGTTATACCACATCTCGTAAATTTAAAGTGTGTTTGCAATATGTTCATAAATTATAATAGTATTTTTAAGAATATGTCCACAATAGTATTCACCTTGAATTCATATTCAGTTACCTTACGTATACATGTATGTTATGGAGATGGAGAAGAGGAGGGAGAAGAATCTGGAGGGAGAGAAATATTTTTAATTTATATATATATATATATATATATATATTAATTTCGACTAATTTAATATGATTTTTTAATAAATGTGGATATGATAATTTTTGGAAAATGATACTGGGTATGAATCAAGAAAGCTTGTAAAATATGACGAAATTAAGGAACAAAAGGAGATCATTAAAATACGATACGATACTAAGATCAACAAAACAGCAAAAAGCAGACCCTTTTAACAATTGATGTTTCTAACGTCTAATGGGGTGGGTCATTTTACACATAAAACACAAACACATCAAATCAACTAAACCTCCCCTCTGATATATAGTTATATATTTAACATACTCTTCACATCACTATCTCTGGTTTCAAGATGCTTGCCTTGATTTCCTTATGGGGTAGAACCACCCCTCCATTGCTGTACACCTCGTCGCACACGTGCACATCTTCTCCAAGAATCGTCATATTCTCTACCCGCGCCCACTGTCCCACCGTCGAGTGCCAACCGATGATACTACTCGAGATGCACGCGTGTTTCTTGATGCGCACTCCCCGCATCACGGTGCACCGTGACAGCCTCACACCTGACTCAACCACACACCCAGGCCCGATTGCAACATCCGGCCCGATCAAACATCCCTCACCGATCTTGGCACTTTCATCAACCAGGACATTACCCACAATGTGTGGTCCACTAGCCAGTTTGGATGGTGCGTTCTTTCTTAAAGAGTCTAGGTACAGCCTTAAGCCTGTGATGTAGTCCTTTGGCTGTCCAATGTCCATCCAAAACCCTGGTAGAACCATTGCATACAGCAGTTTCTCGGATGCGATCTTTGGGAAGGTCTCTTTCTCGATCGAAGTGGGCTTCAGTTCAATTCGGTCAAGAACAGATGGGCTCAGCAGATAAATCCCAGCATTGATCTTGTTACCCACAAATACTTTCGGTTTTTCAACAAATCTTTCTACTTGACCTGTTGATTCTTCCATAACCACGACACCATATTTTGAAGGCTCATCCACCTATTTCAAAATTTTCATCCAGACTCTTCAAATTCCATGAAGAAACAACAATGACTCATAACTCATTACAAAAAATTAATGCAACTTCACCTTTGTCACCATTATTGAAGCTTCACCACCATGGGACTTGTGGAATGCAATCATCGCTTTCAGGGGATATTCACTGATAACATCGCTGTTAAGAACAAAAAATGGCTCTCCAGAATCATCTATTAGTTTATCTCTGGCTAAGGCCAGGGGGCCTGCGGTTCCAAGCGGCTCTGTCTCTTGTGAACATGAGATCTTTATCCCAAGCTTGGCCTCAAAATCCTTTAAGAAGTTGAGCATCACCTGCATAAACAAGAGAATATAGGAATTTTTTGCGAGCTTACAGATGAATTATATCGTGTTCAAAAGAAAACAAAAAAAAAGCTTCAAACTTTACCTCTGGCTGGTAATTGATAGCCAGAACCACTTCAGTGACCCCTATAGCCTTTAGAGCCTCAATCTGATTCAAATCATAGCATACAAGATTTATTTATATGAATACTTTGATATAAGCTTATTTTTGAGTAAAAGGAGGATGCTCATGAATATATATATATATATATATATATATATATATATATATATATATATATATATATATATATATACCTGGTGCAGGATCATGGGCTTGTTGGCAAAATCAACAAGTGGCTTTGGGACACTGAGAGTTAATGGCCTCAACCGAGTTCCAAATCCTCCAACAAGAATAAGAGCCTTCATATTGGGAAGCTTTTGCTGTAGAACAAAACTATCAGAAACTAAGAAAGAGAATGCAATCCAGTTGCATACATGGAGAGGCATTGAACTCTTTCTATTTAAAGTGCTAAACCAAGAAAGATGAATATCTACGGAACTTCTATTCACGTTTTCTAGGTCATCGACTATGATAGAAGTGCCTATTCACCTCAAAAGGACAAATATGTCGGTGCATCAATTGACGGGTGTACATCAAGATTGACACGCATTCATCGCATTCAGAGAAGAAGATGATCATGAGTTGAAATCCTTAACAGATGGGTTAGGAAAGAAATCTTGAAGACTTAAAAAGCCGAGTTAGTGCGAAACAGTCAAAATCTTCCGCTACGTGTCATCATGTCATGTGAATAAGATGGCTTTGCTGGATAGGAATCAAATTCCAGATATAGAAACAACCCCAAACTCTCAATGAGTATGGCTTTAGTGCAGACTTTGATCTGGTGGTGAATCATTTCTTATTTTACTTATGATCATATTTTCCATAGTATGGGAACATTATAGCTTTCTAGGGACTTTTATCTTCTTATGCGAATATGTTAACAGATATCTTAATCAACAAGGTTATTTGTGTACAGATGAGCTGAAAGGTAAAGGTGTTTGATCTAGCAAGGCTTTCCCCTGTCATTATGAAATCCTCATGGATTTTTGGCCTCAAAGGTCCAGTATTAAGTTTTAACATCCGAAATCAATGTAGCCATGTCTTTAATTTGCCTTCTAATACAGTCTGTTAAATGAAAACCAACAAGATTTCCGATTCCCACGAGCACACAGATAGGTTATCAACCCTATGGTTGCATGTACTATGTCCATGAGCTCGGTACCAAGCTTTTGGACACTCAAATGACACATGTTGGCAAATAAGACTTCAAACCAAGAACATCTTTTTGGGGGGTTTGATGAAATAATTATGCAGGCTCTATGGAGCTTTCTGTTATCAAAGAAAACATTCTGTTCATAGGGTTTCACCGGATAGGAACCACCGGCTGCAGAATAGAAACTCAGTATGACTGTTTATCAATAAATCATTGGAAGCTTTCAAGATTCAAATGAATAATTAAACTGGCTTCTGGATAGGTGTGTTACTTGTATGCCACATTATAAAAGCAGGTGGTCTTGATTTGAATATCGCACAAATTCTTTATTATATCGTGCTTGTTTAAGGTTAATCCCCAACTCAAGTTAAAGATCATAGCAAAAAGTAACTCAGTCGAGTAACCCATCTTGAATCACCAGAAGTAGACCTCTAAAGAACTACAGAATGCACACCATACCTTAGAAGTATCAAGGGGTCATTTGGTTAAATGACTTTCCACATAAGTCACTTTTTACAAACTAACCTTGTGCTTTTTCAATATTTTACAGGGGCATGGTGTTTTACATTAGAGCAACTCCAATCGAACGGCAAAACCCTAATTTTGCCGTTCTTTTGGATCCAATTGCACGCCAAAAACACCAAAATTTTGCTGGAGGAAGGAAATGAACGGCAAATTTGCCGTGGAAGAGGTGGACGGCAAAAGGTTGGAGTTGAGTATTTTTTTGGTGTTAACGGGCCCACTTATTTGGTGTTTTTTTTAGCGTCAACGTTGGAGTTGCCCTTAGAGGTTTAACACCAAAAAGGTAGATCATTTGAAGGTTGTGGAGTTAAACTTTTCTAGTGACCACGCTCCTAACTAAAAACGGGTCATTTGACTAAATAGCCCAAGTATTATGAAGCACGTTGAGGGCATTTGACCAAAAGTTTATGTTGTAATCTTAGATCTTTTAGGTGGCTATAGTCTCATGGTCGGTTCAAGGAGCTAGACCTTATCTTGATGCGATTCAAAATAACCATCACGAATTTTGAACTCGTAGCATGCCAATATGTAGAGTTCTGTATTTAATTTTTGATCAGATGATTACAGATTGACCCAATTGAGCATAAACATAAGATAGCCAACTCAGTAATTCACCAGATCTGTTCCTAAATTGAATTAAAGATCTTATAAATTTCACAAAAATACAATCAAAGGCAATGAAATTCGAAATTGAAAACAAGGATCTATGACTTGTTGAACCTGATTTGCATTGATTAAACCTACATTGTTGTATGCCCACAAAACCAGACCAGCGACAGCTTTCACAACGTAATGAAGATCAAGAAGAAAATCAGGATTGAAACAAGGAAAAGAAAAGAGAGGAATTACCTTTGAAGCCTGGCGATTACTCTGTTTCGTAAACTAAACTGGACCCTAATTTCCGTCTGTTTTTGTGTTGTGTGTAGATGACACAGAGGAGGAGGAGGGTAGTTTGCGACCCCAAACGATTGAGCGTCAGGGGTCTTTACACGCTGTTTTATCAACAAGAAGCTTCTCCGATGATTGTTGTCTACAGAGCCTTGCTGTAAACATATATATATTATGCGTAGTGGATATTCTATTTGTACCCAAATTACGCCTCTGTAATATTTATTATTAATAATCTTTATTTTCAGAATTATAAATTATATTTATTGCTATGCGATAATGATTAAATTGTTGATTGAGGATGAGATCATATTCATACAGGCGAAATATAAAATTTAAAATATTTTTAATAGTTTTTTTAAAATTTTATTTTAAGAGAATATTATTTTTATAGATTATAATATTAGGTATAGAGAAAATTAGGATTTTTGGTCCTTATGGTTTCAATTGTTTGTTGGATTTGAGTTTCTTATCCGAAATTAGGCTTTAGAGTTTGTATTTTTGCAACATTTTGGTCACTGATACTAACGACTGTTAACTTCCGTCAAGTAAAAGATATTTTAGTCATTTTCAATTTAAATAAATAAAAAATATTATATTATAAAAGTTATTTATGTTGGAGAAGATGACCAGATATGTTGGCCGAAAAAAGATGATAGGATTTTTTTATTTAAATAAACAAAGGACAAAAACTGAATGGACCAAAATGTCATGTAGCGGATGAGAATTAACGGTTGTTAGTATTGGGACCAAAACGTTACAAAAATGCAAACTCTTGGGCTTATTTTGGAATAAACAAATTCTTGAGACTAAATCCAAGAAAAATTAAAACCACAGGGACCAAATCTGTAACTTACTCTTAATTATATTGTTAGAATATTACAATTTAATAACATATTACTTTATTTTTCTAAACATCAAATTTAAAAACTTTTATTTGTGAAAATAATTAAAAAATATATTTTACGAATTTCTTCAAATTTGGAGAAAGTGACAATTTATCTTTTTCGATAAAAGTGTTTAGTCCAAAATAGCTAAATTCATCATTTTCTCATTTTTAAAGAATTTATTGAAGATATTAAAAACTATGAATGTATCGAGATTTTTAAAAAAATAAATTTATATGAAGTTTTTCAATGATCCATTTGGTTTGCATGATTGTTTTTTTTATGGGGATTTTGATTTTATGGAAGGATTTGGATTGGATTGGAATGGATTTGAAATCATTGGTGTGTTGTTTTATAGGATTTGAAATAGAATTGAATTTCATTCTGTATAAATAATTTATAAAAATAATTAAATTACATTTTTATTAATCGATTATTACAAAACAAATGTTTTTTTAAACCTTATTGTATACAATCCTACGAAATCCCGAACATTTTTTTTTTAACCTTATGTTTGAAGGATTTCAATTAAATCATAATATTTCAAATTCGGACAATCCAACAAACCAAATATGGGATTGTAATGGATTTACAATACAAATTCTCCCAAATTCATTCAATTCCTTCAAACCAAACGGAACCCAAAGGCTTTGGTTGGAAGACTTGTCAAGATGTTTTATTACCATAATTTTTCATGATATGTTTTTTCGGAGTTTTTTCCATAGGGGTTGTTGTTTATATCCCTTAAGCCCTCCTTACTCTCTCTCTCTCTCTCTCTCTCTCTCTCTCACACACACACACACATATATATATATATATATAGGGAAGGGTTCAAACGAGAACTCCTGTGATTTACGAGAACGCAAGAACAACCCAATAACCTCATATTGTGATAAAAAATAAAATTAAAAGATTTTTAAAATTAAAATTGAAATTTAAAAAGATTCAAAAAAATTTAAAATTAAAAGGGTAATAATGGAAATGATATCATCAAATCTTTTAAACACGATCATTATCTTTTAAACACTCATTATTATCATTAGTCTTATCATTATCTAGTAAAACGGTTACGAAATAGGTTAGGATTATACTAGGTGTAATAATCATATGATATGAGTGTGATAATCATATGATAGGGGTGTGATAATCACCATTATACATCACTTGGGTTATCGTTTTGGTTAATAAGTTAAAATTTTGGTGTAATCATGTGATATGGGTGTGATAATCATGTGATATGAATGTGATACTTATGTGATAGGGGTGTGATAATCACCATTATACATCACTTGGGTTAACGTTTTGGTTGATAAGTTAAAATTTTGGTGTCATCATATGATTTGGGTGTGATAATCATGTGATAAAGGTGTGATAATCACTGTTATACATCACTTGGGTTATCGTTTTGGTTGATAAATTAAAATTTTGGTGTAATCATATAATATGGGTGTGATAATCATATGATATGAGTGTGATACTTATGTGATAGAKGTGTGATATGAAGAAAAGATGTTAACGAGAAGAAGAAGCAGATAACTACCAAGAGTAAAACGTGGAACGTGAAAAGATAATTATGGTTAATTAAAATAAAATAAAAATTATAAAAATTACTTAATTACATTATTGTCCTTATTAAATTATTTATATATAATAAAAGTTGTTCTCGCGTTCTTGTAAATCACAGGGGTTCTCGTTTGAACCTCCACCTATATATATATATATATATATATATATAATAAGTAATTAATTTAATATATATACATATTTAGATTAATCCCTTTTTGTATATGTCTTTATACATTTTTACAGATTTCTTAAAAATCCAATAAAAAACCATTAATGTGAAATTAAAATATTTAAAGAAAATTATATATCAATGATATAAATTAAAAATAGGTAAAGCCTATAAATTTAGAACAAAAATGATAAATATTTGGTGTTAATATAACATAAACAATGGATGCTCTAAAGTAACAACATAGCTATTACACATGAAACTAGTTTATTTTAAATTAGTATTAGCTATATATAATTTATATTTTTGTAAGTTAATTACTTTTTCAAATTATGAGTTATTCTAATAATTAAAAAATTATAAAGAACTTTATTCAAAATTTGATGATATATGTTTGTAAAAAATGAATGTTAATATCGAAATTGATTAACAAAACATACAGCAAAACATAAGCGGAAGTTGGTAAAATGTACGACAAAAGAGAATACCTTCGATCAAATCTTTCAAATAAAAAAATAAATTAAAGATTATATATTGGGTACTTTTTTGAAAAAAATTAATTCAGAAAATTCATATAGTTGAAAAATAAAATCTAATATAAATTAAAAACAATTTCCCCTTTTATCTGTTTTTTTTTTTTAAATTAAGTATATGTTTCCCTTTTATCTGCTAATTTTTTTGAAAAAAATTTAATTTGAAAATTTCATATGAACACTTTTTTAAAATGTTATTATAGTTTATTTTAAATCAAATATAGCTTGTGAACACTTAATAGTTTGGATTTTTTTTTTTTTTTTGGCAGATAGAGATATTGTAAATGTGTGTATAATCTTTAAAATTTATTACGGAAAATATTATTTTATAAAAAAGTTTTTTTTTAAATTTTTTAAGGTATCAAATATATTATATATTTTAATAATATAATTAATATTATATATAATCTTTTAACTGGAAAAAATTGTTGACATTGAGTGTAAACTATTATTTTAATCAAAATCAATTTAAAAAGTGTTAAGATACACGAAATAACAATTTAATTTTATTTTATTTTTTTCTTATTATTGTAATGTAGTTTTAAATAATTTTTTATTAAGTCATTATAAAGTCTACCCATTATAACAGTGAGTAATTTGTTACCTTTTAAACTGATTAACCCTTTAGTTTTTTTTTGTTTACTTAGATTCAATTATGTGATATGGATGACACATCATTTTAATGATATAGTTAAAGTA